GTAAGACATAAATTATTTCTTACAAATTATTTCTACAAGCACATAGTCTAGATGTCAATAAGGATGTGAATAAACTGCTCCCATTACAGAGAAAAGTATCAGCTAAAATAAATTAAAACATCTCTATATAAAGCATTGATTTTTTTTCTCTTTTACAGTTTGAATTCATTCCTAAATATCTCAAAACTAGCTATTACATTTCTAACATGTATTGGTCACATTCTTTGCGATGGCTGCAAATGGTATAATGTCCTCCTGTGGCAGGATACTCTGAAACATGATTACAGCCATGTCACCCTGCCTAATCAACATGGTTCATCAATAAAGAAGAAAAGGAATTGCGGTGGTTGTGTGAAATCATCTCCAAAACTTTCCTTTAAACTTAAGTCATCGGCCAGCATCGGCCAAATTTCCTACCCATGGAAATATCATTAACTTTTACTAGCCCAGAATAAGTGACACTCTATGTCATCTGAAGATAGGTCAAAAAGTGCTACGTAGATCTTGTTATCTTGGATTGCTTGTGCTTGGAATGACCTGTCTTGACTGTGCCCTGTTGGGACTCAGCTGACATGGCAGTAGAAATCCCAAGTGACCGCTGAGAGGACACCCACAAGTGTTACCTACAATAAATAGTCCAATATTTGCATGATTCCCACTCAGGTTCTAGGACATGAAGGACAACAACTCTAGATGATGCTGAATAATTGGTTCTTCCTAGCCAAGGGTTCAGACTCTGTAGATGAAGATCAGTCCTTTTTTTCTATGTCTTCTTGCTATACCTGATGCACATATCTCAGACTAGTGTAGAACAGCTTCCATTTAATGCCACAAATTCATGGGGGCCATTATTCAGCAATAGAGACAAGGAAAAATAGTAATTATGTTGTTATTTAAATAAGTGTATTTAGAATTTTTACTAGAGTATGTTTAATCTTAACAAAACCTAAGGGAAAGATATTTTAAGTCTGCTTACACATGAAAAGCTAGAGTTCAGAGAAGTTAAGTAACTTTCCTGACAGCTTTCTACTTAGAGTAGAAGAATTAAGATTGACAACCAAGTTTTCTCATGTCTAGAGGTCATTAAAAGAAAATCATTGATTTATTTTGTCCCTTCCCCATCATAAAAGCTGAGGGGAAAAAAAGGTATCCTCTCAGTGATTATTTTTATGCTCCATATCCTGGCCGTTGTTAAGCAGGGTTCAAATGATCATCCTATCTCCTCTTTCTCTGCGGAAAAGTTTTATATAATATTCTGGATCTAGAAGTTAGTAATAAATTAATATTTCAACTAATCTAACACCATACTCTTTTTTGTAGCATGCTCAATGAAAGGATGAGTGACTTGATAACTAGGATTACTAGTTCACATTAGTGGTAGATGTCTTTGGAAAAGGTTCTGACAGATTGATGGCTTCATAGCAGAATGCAATAATAATCTTTCATTATCATAATTACTTATTTTCTATTTAGTATATTTTAAGAAAGAGAAGTAGATATTTATGTTTATTACTGTAAATGAGTAAATTACCTAACTGAAAGGAATAAATATTATTCTGATACACTTACACTAGAAATAGTTGGTCTACAGAGAAAAGATTTTCAAATATAAAATTCTGGAAAGAATAGACTGGAGATGCAGAATTGGATCAGACTTGGCTAGGTCCTTAAAATAAACTTAAAATTATCTGTAGCAAGTGGAAGATTTATAAAAATAAGACAGGGAAAGATATTTCATGTTTTGGAAGAAAAAGTGATACATGAAATAATGTCTCATTAATATTACTACAGGTTAAGTATTTCTTATTCAAATTCTTGAGATGAACAGTGTTTCAGATTTTAATTTCCTTTTTTCCAATTTTGGATATATACACCTTAAGGAGAATGGTTATGTATCAAGAAAGCTCTATTGAATAAAGCATTGTTCCTTTCGCCAAATTCACCCTAACTACACCAATAGCTAGGATATTATCTATTGAGCCCAACCAGAGTGAAAAATCTGTTTTTCAGCCAGTTTGAATATTATTTTCTCTATCTCATTTTCATTCTAAGGACTATTAGTATTTTCTTTACTGATTTACAGGATGAAATTTTGTTGAGAGAAATCTTATTCTACCAAACAATCATTATATTCCAATGGCCACAAGATGTAAACTCAATAAATTATACTCACTGTGAAAATGCTTTTAGGATATCCACAGTCTAGGGCTAGTATAGCTTTTCTAGACTGGCTTCTGTTTTCTTAGCCTCTTTGTCTACTGGGGAGTGAGATCAATGCTGTGTACCTTTTCTGAAGTTCTATTTCTCTTCTTTACTTATTTCCAATCAGTAACTGACTTCAAACATGTGTGAGGGTAAGGAGTTAGCATTCCTACTTATATGTAGTTAACTGAAACGTCAGCTTTAAAAGAAGAAAAATCTTTCCCTGACATACGGTGCAATATCTAGTGAAACAATTGCAACCCATGCTAAAACAATTGAAAATCAATTCATTTAAATTGATTTTGAGGGGCTGGGAAGGTGGCTCAGTGGTAGAGCGCTTGCCTTGCATGCATGAGGCCCTGGATTCGATTCCTCAGCACCACATAAGCAAAAAGAAAAAAGCCGGAAGTAGTGCTGTGGCTCAAGTGGTAGAGCGTTAGCCTTGAGCTGAAGAGCTGAGGGACAGCGCCCAGGCCCAGAGTTCAGGCCCCACAACTGGAACCCCCCCCAAAAAAATTGATTTTGACCTTTAATAATCATATTTTAATAATACAAGTTTTAATAGCTAGATTTTAGATGAAATTGGTTGTAATAGTATATTCTAATTTCTCTTAAAATAATTGGTGATGGTTTCTTCACAAATGTATAAAGAATGAATTGACTAATAGACTTTCCAGAAACTGAGGAACTCCATGTTTAATTTGGATTTGTTCAGATCATTTGCCAAACTGAACTAAAATATGGCTTTTATTTAGTTTTTTTTTCATGTTCCAATGAACATATTTTAAGAATGAGGCAGGGTGCTGCTATTTTTATTTTTATTTATTTATTTATTATTGTGAAAATACCGTATAGAGGAGTTACAATTACATGGGCAAGGTAATGAATACATTTCTTATCAATCATTGTTGCCTCCTCCTTTGTTTCCTCTTCCCATCCCTTCCCATCTCTCCCACGCCAGCCAAAGTTGTAAAGTTCGTTTCTTGACATAACATCTTGTACATCTCATTGTTGCAATGGGTCCACCTATATCCCTATTTAAACAATTTGTTTTTTCCCTTCCCCTCCACAAATTATACCAACATCAAATACAGTGAAAGCAGGGACTATACCATGGGGGAGGGACATACAGAGCAACAAAGAAATCATCTTATAAATATGTTAGAAACAATCACATGAAAGTAAAAACATTTGAATACTTATCTTGGGGTTCATTTCACCTAACATCAACTTACCTTTTTTCATTTACAAAATAAATACTAATTAGAACATTGGTGAGGAGGAGATGCTGCTTGCCCTGTTAAATCTGATTTCTCTATAGCAATATATTAAATTATAAAGTAAAATGGATGATTGGAGAGTAGAGAGATACGCTATCAAAGGAAGGCTCCTTGATATAGTTACTGTAAAATGTGTCTATCTAGAGTTTATTTAGAGTAGACCAGGGAGAGAGATTACTATTCTTCCCTCCCCCTCCCATTTTTGTCGTGGGGCTTGAACTCTGGGCCTGGGCACTGTCCCTGAGCTCTTCTGCTCAAGGCAATTGCTCTACTACTTGAGTTACAGTGCCACTTTTGGTTATCTGGTGGTTAATTGGAGATAAGAGTCTCGGACTTTCCATGCCTGGGCTGGCTTTGAGCTGCGATCCTCAGATCTCAGCCTCCTGAGTGAGTAGATAGGATTACATGCATGAACTATCAGCACCCAGTGATATGATTATTCTCTCCAAGGTCAATGTTCAGAATTGACAGATCATACTTAATTTGTAACTTACACTTGCCAATACCTTTCTTTTTTATATTGAACACAGACATTAAGTATCTGCTTGGGTCCAAGCATAGTGGCACATACTTGTCATTCCACTTAGTGAAACTAAGACAGGAGGACTATATTACAGGCCAGCCTGAAGTACATAGCAAAATTGTCTAAAAACTAAAGGATAACTAAATGCTGCTTTTATTCACTCATTTTTAATCCTTCACTGGCTTTCTTCCTATACTCCTTACATTTCAGCAGCTCTTCTAAAAGCGGCATTTTTTACTCCAGTAATAAAACTCATTTTAATGTTGGCATAAATAAAACATAATAAAGGTGATGAACCATCCATTAGAAAGCCACATAAAATATGCCAGAGGTAAATGAAAGTGACATTTGCTTAATAAACTTTTTTTTTTACATTCATGCACTGATTTGTCTCCATTAAAAGTAAATATTCAGAGCCACTATGAATTAACTAAAATGTAACAGTACAATTTTGAATTTTCCCAAATTCATCTTGATTAATGTCTAAATCATTAAGTTTCATTTGTCCTCATTTCCAATGAAGATTATCTTCCTTACTTTCTGCCAATGACTTTCCCTAAAATATCAAAGATAGATTACTACTGATTTTCTGTTGTGCTATGTAATTTAAAAAATAGATTCTTTTTTTTTAGTAATAAGACTACTTTAAATATTATGTTCCACATAGGTATATTATTCATAAGTTTTACTACTTGCCACAGTGGACTTCAGGGAGAAAAATGGTCTTTAAGTTGCCACCTGTGAAAACTATTTCCATTAAAAAAATGAGTTAAGCCAGGCCAAAATCAATCATAGGACCTGGAGTTTGACTTACTATTTTCTAGAATGGATTTTAGAAAAAAAAATGTCTCTTTCTCTGATGCTGTATGTAATTAAGAGGTCTTTGTGCTACAGTTAAATTTTCATTGATATGTTTTATTTTACTTGGTGTTTGTTTCTTTAGCAAATAATACTGCCAGTAGGAGAGAAGGGACTGTGATGTCAGTTATTTTCAATTTTTCAGTGTAAAATTTTGTCTACATCCCCCTTTTTATGTTAGACATTTAAAAAATGTTATTATGAAGGTAATATACAGAGAGGTTACAGTTAAGTAAGTCAGATAAAGCGTGCATCTGTTTTTAGACAATGTTACCCCATCCATCTCTTATTCCCAGTTTTTCCCACCATCTCCAATCACATGTTGTTTAGTTCATTTTACATCACGTTGTGGAATGATAAGCCATCAACAAGTTCATTATTTTTTAAATTTAAAACTTAATTCTCTGGAAAGACTCATTTCTTTGTCTTTATAGCTGACATTAGGCAGGTACCTTTGCTTAGATCAGTAACTAAGTTACAATAACTGTAACCAGATCAGTAACTAAGTTACAATAACTGTAACCGTAAAAGAGGTAAAAGTTCTTGACCTCACTTGTTCTTTTCCTCCTAGGTAAATTTGTTTGCATCACCACAAGTGTGCTCTTCATGATTATTCCATAATTCTATATGTGCTTCATATGTGTTTATTTGTTCAGAGAAATCCTGACAATTTATATGTGATTAAAAATAAGTCATTTTCATATGGCCAAACATCTGGCCAGGCCTTGGTGGCTCATACCTATACTTCTAGGTAATCAGGAATCTGAGGTCTAAGGATTTTTGTTTGAAGTGAACCCAGGTAGGTAAGTCCCGAGGGTCTCCATTGAAGTTCCACAAATTCACAGGTGGAGCTGTGGCTCAAGTGGTACAGTGTGAGCCTTGAGCAACAATGTTCTGGGAGAGCACCAGGCCTTGATTTCAAGCCCAGGACTGGCACATAAAAACATAAAACATAAATTTATTAGAATTTATAGTGTTTAGTGTATAAATCTTTGATCATGATTACAGTTGTTATTTTAAGGGATCCTTTCATGTGGCAGAGGGTTATTTTAAAATATCCATGGTGCTATGTTTATTTCTGCTTTCATTTCTAAATTTGATTTTTGTTTTGTGGGTCTGAAAACTGTATTTATTGTGAATTAAATATTATTAATTATTATAAAATGTTTTTTATTTTAACCTTCCAATACTTCAAATGAAGTATTTAAATCTTTGCTTGCAACCATTTTCTGCAATGGGTACTTTTATTGAAGGATATGATTGGTGGGATTTTTTTTTGGCTATGTCTTTGTGTAGAAGGCTTTCATGGTCTTCTTTCATGCTTTCACTAGCACTTCTGTTATAAGAGGCAGTTTTAAAACTCTTACATGAGTTTTTTTATCCCCAACATTTACATACCTTACTACTTTAACCTCACCAATGTTATATTGCTATGTCATACTTTTTTATATTTTTATATTTCCTAGTAATTGTTAAGTCTGAACAATATAAAAATTTTTGATCAGCAATGCTGGCTTATTCCAATAATCAGGTCTAGAGTTCAAGCCTCAGTACTGACAAGAAAAAATAAAAATAAAAAAATAAACAGAAAAAAACCAACTTTTAGAATTTTATTCTCTTTAATCATGTAACTAAACATATTATCAAATTTAAAATAATGAAGTCATATTTTTATAACTAATCAATACTTTAGATATATCTCTCTTTTTACCTTGTTCTTTGAGAATATCTGTATATTGAAGCCATGACCACAGACTTACTAACCCTGTTGAATGGTACCATGTTTTGTAGTTGGGTATGTAATTTTAAAAATGTTTTCTATTTATTGATAGATTAGCATCAATACTTTCTTACTGGCACATTTAAGTTCTTATTTTAATCCATTTTTCATTTTCAAGTCGATATTTTGGGGGAAGAATTCATCTGTATTATTCCTTCTGATTTTTATTTGTATGAAATCATATGTAGTTAAATTATCTGGGGGTGTGTAAATTACCACTATGCTGGGAATGTAATTCTTTATTCTCACATAAGGTATATCTCTACATATATGTAACAATTTGTAGGCAATTTTGAAAATAATTTGCTAGCTTATTATAAAATTAAATATTTATTTTTTACTTTAAAAACTTTTTCTATTAATATTCATTAATAGTACAAGGAGGTTTCACTGTGTTAATTCCCTAGATATAGACAGTGTACTTTTCACCAGTTTCCTTGTCTGTAGACATCATTTCATTTGACTTAGCAATAAGAATTCTTAGATGAAGCCTAAAAAAAGCTGTTAAAACAAATTTTAATATTAATTGGGTGTTTTAGTTTAGGAAAGAATCTTAAAAATAGGCTGAAGAATGAGATCACCAGCAAGGATTTCAACATACAATATTTGCTTTCACATCTCTCCAAGTTGATTGTATTTGCTCACTATTTTCAACATATGTATGACAATACTTTCCTTCTTTTATGTTGCAAAAATTTGTTCCCTTAGTGTGGTGAATAGTTTAGGTCATTTTGGTGCCACTGAAGGAAACATGCTCCATCAAAACATCAGCATCGTTTATTAGAGTTGTACCTTCTACTTTATTGTTTAGTAGGTAGCTCCAGGTATAATAAAAAAATTAAAAAAGAAACAATGATATATTGGGTTTTTATGAACAAAAATGAGTTGTGTGTATCAGCATGTAAATAGAACATCAATGAGCTAAAACACAGTTTAGGCTTCTTGATTATTATACTGAAAGAATTTCCATGTATTAATTTTATTATCAATATATTGAATTCCAGGAACACTATGTTCTCCTATTACTACTCAGAATTCCATCCACTATTTTGTATTTCCAAGTACAGTAGTTCAAGCTAATATGATTGAGACAAATATCTTTTGTGTTATAATTTTGATAAAAAGAGAAGTGAAATAAAAGGCTATAATGAATTCTGCTGTATTGTCTTCTGTATTGTTTGTGAATGAAGGACTTAATTATACTGCTACTGGTTGCACTGTGGCAGGGAGTCTTGTTATCCTTCCTTAGAATCTTCTTTGTTAGCCACCTCCCTCCATGCTCAAGTCTCTGTCAAGGCAGCTTTCACCAAGATTAACTGGTATGTGAGCTACAAGGATGACTGTCCTAGTCAGACACTTATAAAGGTCCTGAAAGGATTGGATGAATTTTGTTGAGATTGTGTCTCTGATATTCTCATCCTTCGACCTATAATTGTTATCTTTTCCCCCTTTTAGTAGTTTTACTCTAAAATATTTTTCCTTGTTTTATCTTGTGAATTAATTTCTATTTCAGATTCTGGAGAAACCTAACCTATCCTGGACAAACAACTCCTGTTGTACTATTATAGGTGGAGATCTTTTGTTTAGTATACCCTGGCTCTATTTTCAGCATAAACAAAAGAGTCCAAGGCACCAGACCTGCTATACCTCAGGGTTTATTTGATTTTATCTATTTGGGAAGTTCATTATTTAGTCAATAAGTATCTATTGTGGCAGTTGAATTTTGACAACAAATAAATAGAATACTGACTTACTGAAATATTATTAAAAAACAACTCTCCTTCATAAAAATCTCTAATCACAAAACAGACAAATTACAGGCATAACAAATGCAGAGAAGATAATAAAAATAGGATAGAAATAATAAGTAGTATGAAGGGTAATATAAAGAGAGAGGGAGATAAAGTAGGATGAAGAAAGGCTTCTTTTCAGAAAGGATCTAAAGGCACAGATATATGCAATGACAATATAAGAACACATGCTGAAGTCCTTGCTAGAAGAGTAAGGTAGTTGTAAGGGAGAGTCAGTGTGCCTGAAGCGTCATGGATGTTTAAGAAGGTTAAATTTGGAGACACCGATGTGCGGTGTGAGTGTTCTCCCACAAACAATGGAAAGTTTTCAGAAGCCTAACTTGTACAGTGTCTGGCTTGTGAAGAAGACGAGGAAGTGTAATGGATGCATTGCAGGGACCTCTCAAGTTCGTGAAGTTTGAAATACAAATTGGATTTAGGTAGAGCGATGAAGAGGGAAGCACTGACATCGATATAGTAAAGTCTGGAGTTGAGAAACAGGATATATGGTGGAGGCATTCGTGAGACAAGGGAATTGCTGAGTTACATGAAAACTGAGAATTCTGAGCTTGTATGTAGGGACTTAGGCTAGAAACAACCAGTAGTATGATGTAGGAGAACAGATCGAATACAATCTTGTTGAGTAATGTTTCAGAGTTTGGCAGCACCCATTTCACCATTCTCTTTGTGGAGATGCGCAAGCTGGACTCCGGAAGCCATCATGTACAATTCATCCAGCTACCCACTGGAACATTTGACACTTTCTTATTTAAATAGTCTAATAATATTAATATGAATATATAAAATTGTATTTAGAGATCCATTCTGATTTTTACTTTTGCTTAGTATATCATCCTTTATGTAAAATTAAATTTAAGTGTTTTATTCAAATTGAACTGCTGAATTTTGCTCTAAAGACAATGAATACTAGATGAAAGTTTCTGAATATTAAATACTAGTTAAATTTTGTTTGTGATGTAAAGTAAGATGCCACAACAATTCATCAAGTGTTCAAGGATTTATAACATTTGACAAGAAACACAATTTGAAGTAAATTATACATGCAGTTGGTGTTATAGTAATTGTATACATTATGGTAATATTTTTCAAAAATATTCTTGAGGAAATTACACTGTAGTTCAATGGTAGAGCACTAAACTTGAGCACAAAAACTCAGGGCAGTACCCAAGTCTTGAGTTTAAGCCCCAGGACTGGCACATAGGCAAAACAAAACCAAAAAATGAGCATTTCATAAAAGGAAATAGTTACCTGCAAAAAAAGAAAAGAAACAAAAGTGTATTCCAGTGAAGAATTGCTTTAGCTCTTTTGATAGAAGATGAAAAATAGGTTAAATGCACATCCACATGTGTGCTTAGAAATATTTTTATTGTTGAAAACAGAATTGCATTACCAATTTTGCAAGGTTTGCCCTTTTTATACACAAATATTATATATAGATATCTATATACAGAAATATCTCTATTATAGAGATATCTAGAAATTCTATAGAGATATATAATAGAGATCCCTATCTCTGTATATTTATTTCTATATTATAGATAATATAATATAGATAATAAATGATAGTAAATAATAAATCTATAATATATCTAGATATCTCTATATATTATAGA